AGTAGATATGAAAGAGATGGCTGGCATAAATGAACGGGAAAATATATGTGAACAACATTTTATGCAGTACAACTCTAGTTATTAAGAAATGTATCTATATTGTGTGTAAAAGTCCCTTACCATGCATGTGTGGGTGCGGTTTCTCCTAAAACACAGTTTTTTTTATTTCTCTTCTGTTTCTGAGATTGCTCTCTACTCTTTCCTTCATTTCTGCCAGCTCTTACACAATCCACTTCTGCTATCTCTTCATGTTTGCCTAAATTCTGGTATTTCTAGTTTGTGCTCCACCTTAATAAAGGCATCCCAGAGCACTTGATTGTGCTCATGAGGAACCTATAACTAATTGGACCAGGAGGCTTTTGCGTGAGTGAAACAGGGGAGCACTGCACGGTTTGGAATTGGGAAGGGAGTGTGTCAGGGAGTGTATCTGTCTCCACACCTGTTCAAACTGTATGCTGAGCACGTTGAGAAGCTGAACTCTATGAAGAGGAATGTGACTTCAGGACTGGAGAGAGACTCATCAATAACCTGCATTATGCAGATGATACAACCTAACTTGCTGAAAGTGAAGAGGATTTGAAGCAATTGTTGCAGAAGATAAAAGAATGCAGCCTTATGTATGGATTGTGCCTCAATATCAATAAAACAGAGATTCTTAACAGTGGACCAATAGGCAGTGTCATGATGAATGAAGAGGAGATTGAAACTGTCAACAGCTTCATCTTGCTTGGATCCACAATTAAGACCCTTCGTATGATCAGTCAGAAAATAAGGAGACACATTACAATGGGAAAAAATCTGCAGTTAGAGACCTTTCCAAATTATTGAGGAGTAGTAATGCAGGTTTGGAAGCAGAAGTGGCATCCACTTCCTAAACAACTTGCTTCTGGAAACTCTATGAATGTTGATAAATGTTGATAATTGTAGAGGGGTTTCAGGCCTTTTGTTCATAGAGTCACTATGAGTAGTGTTCGACTCGAAGGCAATCAACAACAACAACAGTGATGCCAGTTTGAGGACTAAGGTGCGGATTCAGGTATGGTCTTTCTGATTACAAGCTATGCATCTGAGACTTGGACAATGAATAAGGATTGCAAAAGAAGAACTGATGTCTTTGAGCTGTGGTGTTGGAGAAGAGCACTAAACATTCCATGGATGGCCAAGAAAACAAATAGAAATGTCTTGGAGTGGGTGCAGCCAGAGTGTTCTTTGGGGGCAAGAATAATAACATACTTTGCTAGGAGGTGCTATTCCTTGGAGAAGGACATGATGTCAGGAAGGGTGGAGAATTGGCAAAAGAGAGGAAGACTCTCAACCAGGTGGATTAACAAGGTGACTGCTGCAATGGGCTCTTGTGTGTCAGGAAGTGTGAGGATGGTGCAGGACAGGACTGGTTTCAGATCTTTTGTTTATAGGGTTACTATGAGTCATATGTGACTCGGTGGCACCTAACCACCACCACAACAACAACTTCACTAAAATGGTATGAGTCATACGTGACTCAGTGGCACCTAACCACCACCACCACAACAACTTCACTAAAATGGTACTTATTTCATGGTGAAGTACCTGTTTATGCATTTCCTTTTCTCTGTGGCAGTATTTTCCTGATGTGATGTCACCATTTGTTAATTGTGGTGGTTGTTAGATCCCATCAAGTTGAGTATGACTCATAGTGACCCCATGAAGGACAGATCTGAACTCTGTCCTGCTCTGCATCATCCTCATCCTTCTCTACACATTTGAGTCCATTGCTGCAGACATCACATCAATCCACCTCATTTTCCTCTCTTTTGCTGGCCCTCCACCTTTCCAAGCATGATGTCCTTTTCCAAGGATAGCCTGTTCTAACAACATGTCCAAAATATGCAAGGTGAAGTTTAATGTCTATGGAGCATTCTGATTGCTCTTTCTCTAACACATGTCTGTTTGTTCTTTTGGCAGTTCATATGATAGTCAGCACTCTTCTCCAGGACCACAACTCATAGGCATCAATTATATTCTCTCATCCTTATTCTTTGTACAGCTCTTGGATGCATAGTAGGTGATTGGAAAGGCACACCTTAGTCTTTAGACTGGCATCATTGCTCTTCAGGCCTTTGGAGAGATTCCTGACAACAGACTTTCCCGGTACTATACATCTCCTGATCTCCTGACTGCTGTTGCAGAGCATGCTGACTGTGGATAAACTGACCTTTTCCTCATGTGTCAACTGTCTTGTTATCTCACATTTCACATTTACCACAATAGTATAAAATCTACTATTCCATTATTTTGTGTGTTAATTAGATATGTCTGACAGCAGTAAATACTGAGGTGTGAGGTGAGAGTGACATTGACAGTGATGGTTAAGGGGACATGTTAACTTGTCTGGCCATGATTTTCATAGATTTGACAGTTACATAATGATGTAGCCTGGCCATCTTCCACTTTTTCATGATAACTGGGTCTTCTGAACCCAACTTCGTTAATACTAGTTTGTGAAAAGATATGATTTGTGAAGCATGCTAGAGCTGATAATCCACAAAAGTGTCTTCACAGCCCACAGGGAGCATTAGGTCTCATGGCTGGGGAGTCAGAGGGTGGGGTGTGGTGGAGGAGTAAACAGGGGGACCATAGAGGAACAAATGAGTGGACACAGCACACAGCAATTAGAAAGTGAGGGAGAGATACTTTCTAAAAGCACAGAGCATCCTGTTAAAATTCCAAGAGAGTCCTGGGTTTGATTAATTAGTAGAGAAAGAACATGTGGCATAGAAGCAGGAAGACAGGTGAAAACAGGTGATAAGGAAAGATACCTCTGAAGTGGCAAGAGCAAAGCTGCCTCAGAAAATGAGAAAGAGAGGGTCTCCTTCTTTCTCTGTTCTTGTTTAGAGGCCTAAAGTCTCGAGGGGCTTGTCCTCTTGTTGGTCTTGCTTGGTTCCAGCTGGGTATACTGTAAATAAGCACTAATTCATCTCACCAGCTGGTGTCATTGTTATTTCCTACTTTTTCATTGGTCTGTGGTTTCCAGTCAGGTTCCCTTTACAGACCAGGTGATGGCAGAGTCCGGCCCTTAACAACAGCCTGCTTGCACGTTCTCTCTCTCTCTCTCTCTCTCTCTTCTCCTTTCTTTCTTTAGATATAATGCGATAGCTCCTTTTAAAACATTATCAACAAAGTCTTATTTTTTATGTTAAGTTATTGACAAAATGCCCTTTGTTCTCAAATCTATTCTCTATACTTTCACTGTTCTATTTTCATTAAAAAGAAATTCTTTCCTGGAGCTCTGTGGTCCTATGCATTTGGGTTTTGGTTTGTAAAGAGATGGGAAGTAGGAGGAGGTTAGCTGTCAGGATACATCTCTCCTCCTGTTCTTCTTCCTGAAGCATCAATGGCAATGACTGAATCTTCTCCAGCATGTGAGTTCCCTCCTCAGAAGTGCCCGCACAGCTTTTACCACACAATCCTGAATTATCAATTGTGCTAATGGCATCTTTTCTCATTGTTTTTTCATTCACGGATTATCAATTTTTTTATAGTCCTGGATTATCAATTGTAATACCATCTTCTCTGATTTTTTTCTCCATCCTGGGTTTAATAGGACTTGATGTTGTTGAGTCAGAACTGACCCACAGCTGATACTCCAGTGGGTTTTCAGAGGCAGTATATCCCACAGGAGACGATGGCCCATCTGTCTCCTATAGAACAACTGGTGAATTTGAACCACATACGTTTATGTTGGCAGTTCAGTTCTTTACCACTAAACCACCATAGCTTCCTATAGCTCTTAGAGCTCATTAAGCCATCCGAACTCACCTAATGGGACTCAGCTGCTTGCTATTGGTAATCTTGTGTTTGATTTTCCAGTTCTTTAACCACAAGTTTGAAAGACATGGAGTGGTTTCTGTTTCCCTGAGTCCTGACTGATACATAGCAGCAGCATTTTAATGAAGCACTCTCTTTTAGTTCGCCACAGAATGCTTCCTGCAAATATGTTTTATCTGGCACTGTTTTGTAGGCTCTTCTCTCCACTTCTATGAGTCACAGGGGGCCATCTGGTCCATTCACCTCACCCTGTTCCTATTCCCTTGCCCTTCACTGAGGGTACATGTGCTCTGTCCTTGTCAGGAAGTGTCTGTTTAATGATTCTTTGTGAAATGTCACATCTGTTGGTTTTTCAGTGTTGCATAACAAATGTATGCCACTTTAATGGCTTAGAATAATACTCAATTTTTCGTGCTGAAAACCAGATGTCTGGGCAGGCTTAATTGGGTTCCCCTCACCAGGGTTTCACAAGGGCAAATTCAAGGTGTCTGCACTGGGATCTTACATGGAGGCCATGGGGAAGAAATCACTTCCAAACTCATTTAGATTTCAATTCCTTCCACTTGTGGGACTGACGGCCCCTTTTCTCACTCTTAGCTCTCAGAGGCCCCTCTTTCAATTTTATTCGCGTGCCCTTCATCATCAAACTGCCAGCACTGTATGAATCCTTTTTGGGTTTCAGATCCTTTGACCTTTCCTTTTTCACATTGTTATTGTTGCTGTGTATTATAGAGTTGGCACTGACCTTCCTTAGCTTACCCTCTACCAGGTTTTCAGAGGCAGTAAGAACACAGGAGTTGATTTCCCGTCTTTCTCCCACAGAGCAGTTGCTGGATTCGAACCACGTACTTTTGTGTTGACAGCACAATTTCTTATCACTAAGCCACTAGAGTTCCTTTGCCACTGTTGTTATGGTTATGTGTCATTGAGTCACCTGCAACTCATAGCAACCCTATGTACATTAGCTCTGAAACCTGCACTATCCTGAGTCAATCTCATTGTCTCCAATAGACCTAATCCCATTGCTCAAGTTACTAAATCAATCCATCTCATCCTGGGTCTTCCTCCCCTGTGCTGTCCCTCCACCCTTTCAAGCATGATGTCTCTTTCCAAAGGCTGATCCATCCTGACCACGGGTCCAAGGTGTGTGAGACAGAGCCTCAAAAATCCTTGCCTCCACCTTTTCTACCAAGATGGCGCCAAAAGCAAAGAAGGAGGCCCCTGGCCCTCCCAAAACTGAAGCCAAAGTAAAGGCATTAAAGGCCAAGAAGGCAGTCCTGAAAGGCGTCCACAGACAGGAAAAAGAAAAAAGATCTGCATGTCACTCACCTTCCGGTGGCCTAAGATGCTGAGACTCTGAAGGCAGCCCAAATACCCCCAGAAGAGCACCCCCCAGGAGAAACAAACGACCACTACACCATCATCAAATTTCCCTGATCACTGAATCAGCCATGAAGAAGATAGAAGATAACAACACACTTGTGTTCATTGTGGATGTCAAGGCCAACAAGCATCAAATTAAACAAGCTGTAAAGAAGCTCTATGACATTGATGTGGCTAAGATCAATACTTTGATTAGACCTGATGGAGAGAAGAAGGCCTATGTTCAACTTGCTCCTGACTATGATGCTTTGAATATTGACAACAAAATTGGGATCATCTAAACTGAGTCCAGCTGGCTAATTCTAAATACAGTTTTTTTTCTCACAAAAAAAACAACAAACCACCCACAAACAAACAAAAAACAACAAACACAACTTTGCCTCCAGGGAGCAGCCTGGTTTCACTGTCTCCAGAAAAGATCTGTTTGTTCTCCTTGCAGTCTATGGTATGTTCTACACACTCCTCTCCAACACCATGACTCAAAGGCATCGATCCTTTTTTCTCATCCTTTGTTATTGTCCAGCTCTCTGATGCATAGGAAGTAATTGCGAAGACCATGGTCTGGATAAAGCACATCTTAGACTCCAGACTAACATTGTTGCTTTTCAGTGCTCTGACAACAGAGAGGTCCCTGGCAGCTGGTTTTCCCATTGCAACTTGTCTTCCTGACTGCTGGTACTAAGAAAGTTGATTGTGAAACCAAGCAAGTTGAAGTAATAAAAAAATCTTAGACTCTTTTCCCTCCTCATGGTCCTGCCAATTGGTCCAGTGCTTAGAATCTTTGTTTTCTTTTTTATAAATTTTTTTTTTTAAAAAAATTTTACACTGGTTTATTTAGAAAGTTCGTATACATTTTTTTTCACATTGGATTTTCCCCCTTTCCTTTACCCATCCCTCCCTCCACCCATCAAATTGTGCAACCCTGTGTTTAAATTCCCCCACATCCTCACCCCTATAATATCCCCTCCCCTCCTTGGATCCTCATACTCGTTCTACAATAATGGTTTTATATAGTATTTGTCATTATGGGACTGAGTTAGTTCACTCAGCATAATGCTCTCCAGTCCCTTCCAAATTAGGTAGTAATTTACAAAATCATTACTCCTGTGTTGCATAGTATTCCATTGTATGAATATGCTATAATTTCTTAATCCATTTCATTGTGGTTGGACATTTTGGCTGTTACCATGTTCCTGTGATGGTGAATAATGCTTCTATGAATATAGATGTACAAGTCTCTGTGCCTTAGTTCTCATTTTCTAGGGATATAATCCAAGTAGTGGAATAGCTGGGTCATATGGAAATTCTGTGTTCAGCTTTTTGAGGAAATGTCAAACTGCCTCCCAGAGTGGTTACACCATTTTACAATCCCACCAACAATGTAGAAGAGTTCCTATCTTGCCACACTTGCAGCCTTGCTAAACTATGCCACTTCTACTGGGGTAAGGTGCTATCTCATTGTGGTTTTTATTTGCATTTTTCTTATTGCTAGTGATTTTGAGCCTCTCTTCATGTGTTTGTTGCCTATCTGAATGTCCTCTTCTGTGAAAAGTCTTCCCATGTCTCTTGCCCATTTCATAATTAGATTACCAGTCTTTTTCTTCTGGGGGCCCAGGAGTATTCTATAAACTTTCGTCAGAGACCCTTGTCTGAGCTGTTTTCTTGATATTGAGCTTCAATCCATATTGAAAACTAGTCCTTGACCTTCTGCAGCAAACATCTTATGTTCTCTTCAGTTTTAGCAAGCAAGGTTGTGTCATTTGCATATTGCAGTTTGTTGATAAGTCTTCCTTCAATCCTGATGTCACATTCCTCCTCATAAAGTCTAGTCTCCTGAATGAAATATTCTGCATAGAGATTGAAAAGGTATAGAGCTGGGATGCATCCCTGAGGAACACCTTTCCCTAATCCTGAATCATACAGTATTTCCTTGCTCTGTTCTGACTACTGCTTCCTGGTCCAAGTATAGGTTTCCCATGAGCACGATTATGTGTTCTGGGATTCTTATTTTTCTTAAGGCTGGCTGCAATTGCTTGTGATCCACACCATCAAATGCCTTTGCACATTCTCTGGTACTCTCTGCTTTCAGCCAAGTTCCATCTAACATCGGCTATGATGCTTCTAGTGCCACAGCCTCGAGCTAGAGGAAATGTTCTATTTTTAAAGAGTTTTTATTTTCTATATGCTTAAAAAAATTAGAATAAACTTATTTAAAATAGTAACATTTATTTTCTATATATTCTAAATAAAATTTCTATTTTGAATACCTGTATCTGTCTTATAATATATATGTATTATATATATTATATAATATATAATTGAAGCTGATGGCTTCCAAAGTGAATTGATTTTATGCTGGTTGATGGCTGTTCGCGTTTTGATGAGGAACATGTATGGAATGGTGGGGGTTCTTTTGGCTTTATTTTCATCCCCAAGTGGATGTCAGTAGATTGGATGTGCCAGATGGATTGAGGGTCTCTGGCTCATAATCCACTAGCATTTGGGTGTGTCGGAATTTATAAGTGCGGTAATGCTTGCCTATATATATGTAGGCTGATGACTCCTGAGGTGAACTGGTTTTATGCTGGTTGATGGCTGCTCACACCTTGATGAAGTTGATTGAGTTTGAGATGAACATTCTTTTAAGTAATACAGCAGTGGTCTGTTTGCTCTACTGAAATAACCTGAAGTTGCTGTGATGATGGACAACTGTACCATAGGTGGGTCAAACATGATAATTGGCTACACATCATGGACAGTGTTTGGTGGAGCTCCCAGATTCATTTATGTTTGGAAGCAGGAGTGGCATCCACTTCCTAAACCAGATGCCTCTGGAAACTCTATGAACTTGGAGAAATGATGATAGTTCTAGAAAGGCTTCAGACCTTTTGCTCATCTGAGGAACATTCTTCTAAGTTGTGCAATACTCTTCTATCAATTTGCTCTACTGAAATAATCTGGGTTTGCTGTGAAGCTGAACCTTGTGCCACACTGGAAGTCAAATGCCATAATGGCTGCCCATAGTGGACAGTGTTTGCTGGAGCTCTCACTTTAAGACAGGTCTGGAAGCAGAAGTGGCATCCAATTCCTAAACCACATACCTCCAGAAACTCTGTACACCTGGAGAAACAACAACAGTTATAGAAAGGCTCAGGCCTTTTGTTCACAGGGTCACTATGAGTCGTGCTCGACTCAATGGCAATCAACAAGAACTATATATATAAAGTATATCCCATCTCAACAACTATTCTTGCATAATTCAGTAACATGGATCACATGCAGGTAGTAAACACATTTCTTCTCCAAATTGTCCTGCCAGCATACCATAATTTCTATACTAATTCAGGAAAAACTTTCTCATGTCCACTGTGTCTGTCTTTTGTTGCACATAGTGTGCATGTCTGCTGGGTGTAAGATTTAGGAGTGTAAAAGAGTAGTGATTGTATTAGTTCACTTGGACAACCTCCCTTTTGATAAAGTTGACTGATTAATAACTTTAATTACATCTGTAAAATCCACTCACCATATAATAATAGGTACAGTGCCCCGTGTGTTGTACTCCCACAGACTAAGGGACAGAATGTTGAGAGGTCACTTTAGGATTCCACCTGCCACACCCTTCCTTTGCTTCTCTTCACTGTTACGTGAACACAACTGCTCAATAATATTTTTAGTTGTTGTTAATTAAAATTGTTGTTATTGATTGTCGTGGAGTTGAGCATGATTCATAGCCACTCTATGAACAAAAAACCTAATGCCTTTCCACAGCTATCTTTGTTTCTCCAAGTTCATAGAATTTCCAGAGGCATGTGGTTTAGGAAGTAGATGCCACTCCTGCTTCCCAACCTGTTTTACAACGGGGAGCTCCATCAAACACTATCCACAACGAGAAGCCATTCTGGTATTTGATATCCCCATGGCACAAGGTTCAGCATCATAGCAAACCCAGGTTACCTCATATAGCACATTGACAAAGAGTCATGTGATAAGCAGAAGAATGTTCCTCCAAGATATACCATAACTAGTTATGTTGATAGATGAAACCACCACTGAGAATATAGTATAGCTTGTCTCATTTAGCAGTGGTTAAGAGTTGTCGAGTCAAATATGACTCAGAGTAAGCTTTGCACAAAAGACCTGAACTTTTTTCTATGATTAACATCTTTTCTGTACATTTATAAGAGAGTTTGTAGAATTTCCAGCGGCACCTAGTTTAGGAAGTGGATGCCACTCCTTCCCAGCATGAATCAATCTGGAAGTTCACCAACCATTATACATAATGGGTAACCATTATGGTATTTGACACGACTATGGGATAGTGTTCAGCATCAAAGCAACTCAAAGTTGTTCAGTACAGCAAATATCATTGCTGTGTCTTTTACAGAATATTCTATTAAAATTAATAAATTTGGCCCGTGGGCCATACAGGATTTTAAATCCACACCCTTGAGCAGGGCTCCGCCCTTACCCTTAGTCTAAGGTTCAAGGGCCACCCGCTTTTGAGAAGGGGGACAAGGAACAGTAACAACAAAAAAGACTCCAGAAACGTCCCTTGCTTGACCGCTAGCCAGATGACACCACCATTGAGACAACGACCAGCCAGCCAGCTGACTTCCAGAGTGGAAAAGTTAGATTTATTAAAAAGATCCCCCTTGAAATGGAATATAGAAGAGAGGTGTCCTCAAAAATCTTTACAAATGCTTTGAAATTTTTCAATTTGAACCAAATTTCAATTTTTTTTTCTACTTATTTTTTGAAACTTTCAGAAAAATGTCTACAATGAGAAAAGGAACAGCTACCTAACATATCCATACTCATACTGGACATTTCTCTGGTCATTTTTAGAGTGTCTTACCCCTTCATC